TTGTGTCATTTTTCACTCATTAGCCATGTGGCTTCATGAACTTTGTGTGCATGTCATTAGTCAAGTGGTGCATGTCATTAGCCAAGTGGCTCAGTAACCAAAAAACCACCATTTTTCTAGCAAAACTAACTCTCCTAACTAGTTATAACTTTTTCATAATTTTAACATAATTTACTTAATTATGTTAACTAGTTATAAAACCACAGCCCATCTAAGCACCGGAGCGGGCGCGAAAAACCAAACAGCCTTGAGCCAACAGAGAAGAAATCGTCTACACAATCTCACTTACTTTCTTTATCTCTTTCCACTTGTAACTCCTTAAGAGTTCCGTGGAGAACCCTGAAATGGCATGAATTCCTCCTCTCAATGTTTCAGCTCAGAGAGGACGTGTCTGTGGGTGAAACACAAACGGCCTCTCAGAAGTCTTTTCCTGTGTCGTCAAGGTGCGGGAATCCGCAGCAAGTTGGCGTGCAGTCTCCTCCCCGCGGACGCGAATGAACGCATCTCGGTCCTGCTTCAGGTACGCCACACGTTCCGTGCACTTCGCCAACCAAGTAGAGGGGGCTTGACCAAGAGGAGTGGGTGGTGAGTATTTGTCCCCCATCGCAACGTTCGACGGACCAAATGTCGCCATATCACGAAGAGCTCTCTCTTCATCTTCAAAAAACATGCCAGCTCTGAGAAGTGTGCGCGCAACCTTCTCACATTCGAGCTCTTCCCTTTTCGAGAGGGATCGGAACATGAGCGTTAGGTCCTTCGCCGCATGCTCGTAAATGGCCACCGCCTTGCTGGGCTCCTCAAAACATCGGAGAACCACGAGATCTGTTTCCGTGGTCAGGCTTAGCATCGTCTCGGCCAAGCTGTCTTCAACCTGCGCGGTTTTGACTTGGAACACGCTCTGCCAAAACGCGAGCTGGCGAGAATATTTTTTGAATGGTGTTCCTGCCAAGAGCTGTTCTTTCTGGCTGCTATATTTTAGGTCGAACATCTCCTGTGGTCTCTCAGAAGCTCCGAACACTCGCCACAATGCTCCCAACACAATGAGAAGAACCCCGATGTCTGTGTCGGACATAGCCCCTCCGGAGAGGGAGCGAGACTTCTCTTTCAAAGCTTCTCCCAAAGGCGCTTTGACCAAACTTTGGTGCGCGATGACCTTTTGAGGATGAAGGAATTCTTTGCCATTTGTAAATGAGAACCCGAGTTCCTCCAGAGCCTCCGTCCATCCTGCGACCCTGTGAAAAATCTCCTGTGAAGCGGTTGTAGGGGTGGACCCCCCTCCCTGACAAACTCTGCTAAAGCTTCAGTTGTGCCTGCTTCTCTTTGAGCATGGCTGCTTTGAAGATCTCCCGCCTTCAGCGAGGGAGTCAACAAATGGATATGCTTAATTATGTCAGACCACTGTGTTGTGCAGGAACATCATTTAAAGCGATAGATGTTGGCAACGACCGTCGTTTCTACCGCTCATTGTAGATTTCAACTACGTCCCCTCTAGACCATTGCAGCATATCATCCGCTTGTAGCAAAAATTCATACCAACATGTACATTGCCTGGCAGTCTTGGGAGCTCAAGTACCTCCGAAACGGCTAATCCGATGGACTCCGCCTCTGTAGCTCTTCTTCTTTCCGCCGCTTCCAGTCCTTGACATCTTCCCTCTCTTCAGGCTGCACCTGACCAAAACAACCACTGAAAACAGGTGCTCTCAAGGCCAAAGCGCTCAACCCCCCGTACAAATGCCAATCGCCCTCTGGTTCAGCAAAACTTCTTGGGCCAGTTTGGTGGGCCCTGGGTCACAGTATTGAACATGTAATTGAATTGGCCGATCTCCAACACATGCCAACCATGATCAGGCAAGTCACCGTTTTGTCTGCATGGCCCAGTTGAAACGCAAGCCACGGACACCGTGACCCTTTTTTTTCCGGCCAACGATCTGGTCGATGGGTCGATGGCATCAAACCTTGGCCCCACAAACTTGGTTGGTCATTACTCATTCCATTGTCACCTACTTCCAAATCCGAAGAGACACTTCCAAGACCAGTTTCCTCTACACCCCAATAGTTTTAAGAGATTTAAGGATCCTTAGTCAATCTGCAGAAGGGTCACCCATCGCTCACTTGGCATGGCGTTGCCAGCCCGCTCGCTATATGCTAGTTTGCTCAAGCCTCCAATGTTCCCACGGCACCGGGTCGCCTGCTTCGCCTCTGGCAAGTCTGGTTCCTGCCAGAGCGGCGGGCAAATTGTTCGCATGAAGGAAAACTCGGCGTGCCGAGCGAGCTTCGCACTTGGGAGTGCCAAAGCACTAGATCTGAAGATTCACTGAAGACTGCACAGAGAATGGTGACCTAAGTGTCCACAAGGTCACTCCTCCCCACGCAGAAGCAGACTCGAATCGATACCCACTTCCATTTGACCACACCACACACTTCCTGCATGGCGTGGCATGGGACCTTTCAAAGGGTGATAGATCCTTTGGGGGTGTCCATGTACCACCCGGACAGTGAGTGGGACAGTAGAGCGGGCCCCCAATCCAGTTTGAGACGTGGGGAACTTGGGGGGAGGTCAGCAAAAGAAACATCTCTTTGCTCGCCAGCTGTTTGATCCAATTGCCTTTGACGGGTCGCCTGTCACGCGGAACGGTGGTCACTCTGTCGGCCATGCCACTGCAAGAACTACCAAGTGTGAAAGCATCTCATGTGGACACCATTGGGCACCTATACGTAGCAGTTCAGTCGCCCCAGGAACGGTTCCGCAAACCAGGTTGCGAAAAAGGAACAAGCGAACGTGGTCAGACGTTTTCACCCCCTCTAGCCAGTCTAGCCTCTTCCTCTTTCTCCTCCTTTTTTTCGCAAGCTATCCTTGGCGCCTGTCAAGCGGTGGACGCCTGCCGGACACCTATAGGCCAATACGACCCTGAAGGAGTGAGCTCAGGTGCTTCGCGTAAATGTGTCTTCTGCAAGTCAAGTCTCAAGGATTTTCCTGAGCAATGCAGTACCTCACACCCACCCTTCAAGTCCATCGATATTCTTTGGGGAGGACCGTTCCAAACACCTGATGCTCAACTGTGTCTAGACGTGCTTCTCGGAGTTGCTTGAGTTTACACCGAGAATCAATTGGATTTATGTCGACTTTAGCTACCAAGACTTCATGCAACCATCTCCTAAAGGGTTTCTGGCCGCATTCAAAAAGAAGGCAGGGACAACTAACCCCAATTCACCCACCCCAATCGAGCAGGAGGCTCGTAAGAGCATCATTCCTTGTATGTCAATTGTGCATTAGCCCTTTACAGCAAAACACCGCAGGAGAACTGCGTCTTCGTTGGCCGCTGACTGCACGAATCGCCAGCGGCCCCCTGCTATCGTTTATAAACAACCTTGCAAAAACCCAGGTATAGGGCTTGACACATTTATGTTGTAGTAGGGCATCACTACGAACGGAACAAGGACGCTACTAGGGGCGCTCCGGGCAGTACTACTAGGAACCAGAAGCTACTAATTAGTAGCTTCTGGGCATCGCTACTTAACAAGAAGCTACTAGTAGCTCAGCAGCTCCTGGCATTTCTACTAGGAACAAGAGAAGCTATAGTAGCTTGGAGGCCACACACACACACACCAGACACGACGACCGTCGTCTTGCACCCACCTCCTCGCCCTCCTCGCACGGTGTCGCGCCCGGAGACCTTCCGAGCTCCGGGTTGGGCGCAGCCTGGGAGTCCGAGGAAGGAAGTGCAGAGTTGTCAACAAAAAGATCTGAAAACTACCTGGACAGCCTGGACTGAAGAATGGGTGTCTGTTCTTAAAAAAAGCATTAAAAAACGCGAGAAAAAAACAAAATCATTCTTCAATCCAAATATTGAATCATGATCCTTGACGTGTTCAGAGTTGCATGTCAAGACTTTGAAAGAGTTTTCGTCTCTACTCTCAGCTGGCTGTAGTTGGTGAAACATTGGTGATATTGAGTTGCCATACAGCTATGTTTGGTGAATTTTGCGCACCTTCCACTTCGACTGAATACAACACTACCATCTGACCTCAGCTACAGCTCTAGAGTCTACACGTGTAAACGTCCCCGTTGTCTGACAATTTTTTCGCTGATGCATGCAGCTATGAAACATCGCTATACATGCCCCAGCATCCGACATGGCTCTACTGCCATCAGAACCATCCCAACCGTCTTCGTTGCCTTTTCTTAAACCACTACACTGCAAGCACGATTGAGAATTGAATCAACCCTAGAATCAACCTCTCAGGAAAAAAAACAAAAACCACACACACACAGCAAACCCAGAAGAAAAAAAAACACAAACACGTTCCCAGTGTGTATGTGGGTGTCCGTGCGCATCCCTAGATTAAGAGTTCCGAGGAGTTTGGATCATCTTGCTTTTTGGATGACCTTATTCAAGTTTGTTTTTGTCCCACCCTCCAAGTTCCCAAGTCGCCTCCTGTGCTTCCATTGCAGCTGGCAGTCGCCATCGAAGTCGATGCCGCAGCCTTGATGGTGTTTGTGCTGTCCAGGACCTGACACTGGCCCAAGCCTCATGTCTCTTCTTCTTTGACTAACAAAGATAGATTCGGTAAAAGCTGCGAAAGAGAGACAATGTACTGGGAAGAACGTGAAACTCCCGGGGCGAAGGGCCCATGGTCAGAGCCGACCATAGGCCGACCCCAACACGTTGGACAGTCGGTGCAAACATCCAGTGAGCAAAGAATATATAGGTCGCTCCGGGTCACAAAGTACTTATAGAACCTCTACGGTACTTATACCTCGGAAAAACAAACATATGCAATGTGTCTTATTTTTTGGGGGGGTCCGGGGTCATGCTGTATTTTCCTTTTTAGAGCACTTTGGAGACTCCAGGTGCACGGCACGTGGAGGTCACCACCAAAGGTCCAGACCCACAGGCGTTTACCAATGATGCCATAAGCAATGATCGTGCTTACTTGCAATCACCAGAAACATCTTTAAATTTGAAGGCGTTTCTAGAGGCTACTGGCACGTCCAACAGCTGCATGAAGTGTAAAAAGTGTGCGTTTCTACAAAACTTTGGATTCACATGTGGAGGGCACCAAACTTCGACCCCTGCACCAAAGACCCCCAGTCAAAAATAATTGTCATAAACTCATTAAGAAAACGTCTGTTTTCAAGGCATAGCCCTGGGCATGATGTCGTCATTGTAACACCTGCATGATGACCCAGGGCCACTTTCTGCAAGGGTCTTCAAACCGGTTTCAACTCATGAACAAAAACTACATGAGTCGATGGGTTCAATCATCCACCACACTTGGAACCCGGAAAGGCCCTCCCTGCCTCTCTTAACATTACTTTCTTAATACAAACCCAACCAACTCAATGCCAAGTCGACACATATATGTTCCAAATTTACCTGATTTTCTGGGCCTCCAAAATGCTTCATTGATTGTGTTCGTTCCCCGTTTCTCCACCCAAAAACGGGGCAACTGGTGTCGGGGCAACGTGCGACGGTCACTGAGGCCCACACTTCGGAGTCTCGGGAGAGGCCTCGGGCGACAGCAAGCGACGTAGAATGGAGTAAAGTGTCGGATAGGTGTAAGTTGTAAAGAATGTATCAGAATGTAATGGAATACATAAAGTGTAGTAAAGTAATGTAGTAAGTAAACGACATAGTTGCTACTTACTACACTTCAACACTTCATGCATACTTGTGTGATGAGGTTCCGATCACCAAGACCGCAACCAACCAGGTTCTCAACCGCTTGGGCACCAACGGGCACCAACGGGCCCTTTGGACCGACCGGATCGTCTTCGAGCCGGGCATCGGACCAACGGATTCTGCACATGCTTGGCACAGCGTGCCGGGGGCACGGATCGCCAACCTATCCAGTCTGTGTCCTCAAGTGGGCCCGCGCCCGATTCGGCGTAAGCCTTTAGATCCTGTCAGCTTCTGGTTCCTTCAATGTTTTTGCATGGACACAAACATGATGAACCTGCAATGTAAACATCAGAAGTGCTGGATGCGAATACCAAATCCACCTCTGCAAATCTGCAGCTGGGCGACAGTTCAGTGGATTGTTGGTCCACTTCCCATCCAAGTTGATGAAAGCTAAACCCCAAATGGGGAAGACAACCAAAACAACCCCAATGAAGTACGGCAGAATCAGTGCGGGCACGTACCGTAGGCTTATTTCATGGGTGCTAAAAATGCTAAAAAGATCATGTTCAAACCCCAAAACCCTTTAGATCACGTACCCGCGTTCTGGCGGTCCTTTGAACCGAATCTCGGGCCCGCCTCAATCCTCTCACCGTCCACAGACCTTGCGCCCCGGGGCTTGGGAGCTACTTCCCCCAGAAGCACCAGTCCTATGGCCCCACCAGTCCTATATACACTTGGAGTCGACCCGTTCGTACCTCGGAAAATGGAAAAAATATATATAATATGTACCTATACAAGGTCATTTCCCCTTTTGTAAGGTACTTTGGAGGGTCCAGGTGCGTATATATATATATATATATTATACATAGAGATCTGCATGGGCTTCAGCATGCTTCAGCTTGTAAACAGGTCTCAAAATCACAAACATTAAGAAATTCCACCTCTCCGAATGGAGGCCCTCACAGGTTCATCCCCCCAGAAAAGTCCCTGGTTTGCAATGGTCTGCATTGGTGGGCGGGGGAAGCTACGAGATACCAATCCCCCAGAAAAGGGCTCCAAACAGGGAGCTGCTTTTCAGTCTATTCACTGACTCGTTGACTGACTCACTCACTGAACTCATTGAGCCCGGCCCGGAACAAAAGAACCAAAAGTGAAGATCGCCGCCCAAACGCTACGAGTAGGATTAATAAGATGGCGAGATCACAACAAGAAGGCAACATTGTTGTCTTTTTGAAAAGAACCCAGACATTCAGCGGGGGGGGCTCAAACCCACTGGCACCTATACCAGGCGCCGCCAGTACATACGACCCGACGTGCTAACTTACCCCATCGCACATGAACTTGACCCACCCCCATGGCACACCGCTTACCCCACGAATGTAAGAACTTACCCCATTTGGAAAACACAATGGCACACCGCTTCGAAACAAACACTTTTTCTCCTAGATTGTTTCTAAACCTACACGATTCCACTGCGATTCAATCTTCTACATGTTGATGTTTTCTAAGGTTCTCTGTGGGTTGCCGTGATCCAATCCCCATGGCACACCGATTCTGACCCACATGTTGGTACCAGCTTTCAGTCTCTACATGGAGTGCAAACAGCATGGAACGTCAAACATATATCTATTCATTCTTGCGTGTTTTCCTCTCCCAATCCCCATGGCACACCGCTTCGGAACAAGCACTTGTTCTCCTAGCCTAGATTGTTTCTAAACCTACACCATTCCATTGCGATTCAAGCTTCTACATGTTGATGGGTTCTAAGGTTTCCTATGGGCTGCCATGGTCCAACCCCCATGGCACACCTCTGACCCACATGTTGGCGCCACCTTTAAGTTCCTACCTCGAGGGTAACCACCCAGACGCGAAAGTCCTTGCAAAGCAGTTGCGGCAAGCAAATCACACTGTGACACCACACCACGACTAAGTCACGGCAGAGTCCTTGCCGCACTTAATTTCCGCATGGGACACCGCGTCACCAAACAGGCCATCTGAGCCAAAACCATGCTTTCCAAGCCCAGTTTACAACACTGCCACAATGATAGGGTTTGTGCAACAACAGCCAGCAGCAAATGAGTAGGCTTTGTAGCGCAGGCAGCGGCAGCGGCAGCAGCAAGCAGCAGCAAAACAACACCAACAACCCAGCAGCAGAAGGTAACCCGCAGCATCCCACCAGCAGCGGCCAAACAGCAGCAGCAAGCCGGCAGCAGCAAACCAGCAGCAGCCAAACAGCAGGCAGCACGAAGCCAGCAGACGCTAACCAGCAGTAGTAGCCAACCAGCGCCAGCAAACCAGCAGCAACTGGCCGCAGCCAACCACCAGCAGCAAAACAGCACAGCGCAGCAGCAGCAGAAGCAGCAGCAGCACCCAACCAGCAGCAAACCAACAGAGGCTAGAAACCAAATCATCTGTGATGTGGGATTGGTGAAAACGGTGTGCACACCCGCTTCCGATCTCTGCCAGAAGTATGCTAAGACCACGACAAAGCCCATGGTTAGCTTGCGTTTTGCCTTCTTTGGTGTCTGTGCGCGCGCGTTCCTTCCGCATGGCACACCTGCGAAAAATGTGAACATGAACGCTTGAAGACATGAACCCTGCAAATCGCTCCTTGCCTGGAGGGCCCATGTAAATTGAAGAGGCCTTTGCTTACACATATGTGTTGGTCCTGGTGCCTGGCGGGTTGGGCGAGATAGAGGGCGAGATGTGGGCGAGGTATTGGGCGAGATGAACACGTTTGCCCAGAAGACCCATGCCCACTAACACCCAAACACAAAAGTCCTTGCAACGCAACGCAGCTGTGGCAACCAGTCATATACTGGGACACCACGCCACGACTAAGTCACGGCAACGTCCTTGCGATACTTGTTTCCGCATGGAGGCACCGCGTTTCACCAACCAGGCCTGCCACCAAGCTTGAAATCATGTTTCCAATACACAGTCTGCAATGGAAGAAACCTGCTATAATCACAGGGCGTGCAAAACAATGACAGGCAGCAAATGAGTAGGAGCAGCAGCAGCGACAAGCAGCAGCAAGCAGCAAGCAGCAGCACCAGCAACAACCAAGCAGCAAGCAGCAGCAGCAGCAGCAGCAATCAGCCAGCAGCAGCAGCAGCAGCAGCCAACCGCCAGCAGCAGCAGTAGCCAACCAGCAGCAGCAAGGCGGCAGCAGCAGCAGAAAACCAGCAGCAAGCCCGACATATATTGATTACCATAGATTACCAAACAACAAACGCCTCCACCCCTAGACACGCAACTGTGTGGGGACACGCTTCGCAACGACTTCTCAAAAACACTAATCAGACTGCTCCTCGCTCATCCGCTTTGATGGAGATGGGGCCTTTTCGAAAAGGATTCAACTATGGGTTGACAAAAGAAACCTCTAGAAACAAGTTCAACTTCATAGCTATTCGATAGCTCACCCCAATGGTATACTGGTTTCACATTGCAGTGTGAACGCGAAAAAGCCAGTGTGCTACGCAGATCTGGCATCAATAAGATGGAGAAGTATGTTGCTCATCTCTTCTAGTTTGCACTGCTTTGACTGCTCCCCGCAATGGCACACCGGCTTCCATACGAGATCTTGATCACGATAGGGGTAAACACAGGCACCCAGTATGTAGAAACAAATGCACGAGGCAAATGAGGCCTGCCCCCTTTCTGTCCCAACATTGGTTGGGAAGCGCAACTTGAGGCTGGTTGTATTCCAAGCACTAGTCACCAAAAAGAACAAATACACAGTATGAAATGCCCAAACAATGATCGTTTACACTCCTAGACACAAAACTGCTTGGGGACACCGTTTCGCAACGATTGTTGAAAAATACCTAATCACAATGTAGTGAAGCCAAAAACATGAAATCGCAACGGCGCACTTGGGAGTACAATAAACTTGAGACAGAATCAACAGTGTGCCCTTGCGGTTTGGTCGAATTCTCAACCTGTGATCAACAACAACATACATACAAAAACTTAGCCCAATCAAGCTTTCCCCCAAGGGCACACCTCATCTGGCACAAGTTCATGCCATTCGAGACAAGTTAACCCGAGCACCCAGTAGCTAACAAATTGGACTTCTGCCCCCAAACAGCTATGATGCTTCTGTGGTAATGAATGAAGGGCATGCAGTAATAATTGTAGCTGTCGTTTGTGGAGAAATGGTCGTGTACAGTCCAGTTGGTGAAGTGTTCATCTGACGGGCAAAGCATATCAAAGCATCATCGTTGGCTCACGCTCATCGGGGCAGGGTACTGAAACGTTACGAGCAACAAATCGAGCAACATCGAAAAACATGTTGCAAAGGTATCCGGCTCTTCAATCTCTCAGACACGCATGTTACAACATGGGGCGTCTGACAGGGAGCTCGCAAAACGAATCAAAACGATACTTTGTTGACTCGAGCTACCCAAGCATTGAGGAAACTATGTCAAGTCCAGGTCGTATCGCCATCCTGAACAGCTCCAATCCTCGCTTGGACCTTTGCAAACTAGGAGCAAGAAGCTACTAGGAACAAAGGGCATCGCTACGAACGGAGCAAGGGCATCGCTACTAGGGGCTCCTGGCATCGCTACTAGGAGCAAGGACGCTACTAGGGGCGCCTGGCCTTACTACTAGGAGCAAGAACGCTACTAGGAACAAGAAGCATTCTTTCCAGTCAACCCTGGCACTTTCACTGAGGCCCCTGACCCCTCCGACTTGAGAAGGGCCTCGGGGGCGTGGGGTCTCTCCCACCGGAAGAAGAGGATCTGGACCGGACCGTTGGTACAAGACATATGGAACGCACCGGCCTGGTTTGGTGGGGAATGTTTCCTTGTTCTAGCGATTTCTAGGGTATGAACTGGAGGCTTCGGTAGAGAGGACTCCAAGAGCTATCTGGGTGAGAAATTCCAAAACGCACAGATCCCGGTAAGTCTGCTGCGTCTACTCAAGTGGTACACCAAGCAGTAAATGGAGATCGGAGGGCCGGGCACACCAAACGGCATCAGGTCGATTCATCAGGTCGATTAAGGCAGTAATTCAAGGAGGTCTCGTGCTTGAGGTCTTCAAACCACGATTGAGAGCCGATCAGCGATTGAGGGCCAGCTTTCTATGTTATGTTACGTGAAGTGTCCTTCCAAAAGAAATTGCAATCAACAGTTCACGCAGCAAGCACGTGTGTTGAATTGAGGAGTGCTGACCATCTGCCAGACAGATTGCGTGATACCTTCAAACATTCAAGAAGGTTTATATAACCAAGTGGCATCTATAACATTCTATGACATTCTATGACTACCAGGATATGGGGAAGAACAAGCTGCTCCTCCCCAGGTTCCAACAAAGCTCCTCTGTTGCGAGGTTAGGGCAACGACATCTGCACGGAACACAGCTGGACCGTGCCGCAGTCCCACCAATTCTGCCCTAAGAATCAAGGACCCTCAGTTCTGCGAAAAGCAGGGTCCAAACCCCTGCGAAAAGCAGGGTCCAAACCCTCCAGTTCGGAGCGTCCAATGATCCTTAGGGTGGTTGGAAAACCACTGCGCATGTGAACCCCAACTCCTGGTATCCCAGCCACAGCTGCCGCCTGCCCCGCCCCACACCGAACAGCTCAGGCTGCGGCAGAAAGAGCCGCAGGCAACCACATGGCGCTGGGTCAAACCCCGGCGCCCGCCATGTGCACGACTAAAATCAGCAAACACAAATAGAAGAGTTCCCCAGAAATGGCCACCTACCATGGTAGTAGGCCTTTAGCGAAGGCTGCGGTTCTGTTTCATGGACATACATCCCTTGAGTCAACTAAACATCATTGTCACACATGTGTGTTCCTCAGATGATTTCTGACTCAATCAAACAAATCAAGTCATTCCTGCTAAGTTCTTCAAAAGCGACCGCCCTTGATATCCCAGTTCTAGGTCATTTGGGCCCGGCATTTCGGTCACCTTGAAGGGGCTGCTGATCTTTGGTCACCTTGAAGAAACGGGTGACATGTTGTGACCTTCCTCCAACTGCAGCGGCCCTTTGATGTTGCCATCTGCCCACCCTTCTTTTTCTGATCCAAGTTCCATCCGTCTCGGCCCAGAATGAGCTGAAAACGCAACGGTGGACGGTCGGAAACGCTACCCGTCGGCGACCCATCTGACGACTTGACCGACAGGTGTTTCACCTGGGCACGGCGGTCGCCCTTTCTATAAAGCAAGACCGTGGCCGATCTGTTTTTCCGCAAACAGCAAATCTGTGCAGCGCTGTCAGTGCAGCTTGAATTGTATTGTGAGAGGTCTTAAGACGACGCCAGGGCATTTAGAACTGTTCCAAGATGTGTGACAAACCTCAAGTAGACAAACATCAGAGAACGAGACCCCTCAACAAAAATGATTGCCCCATATATTACCTCTTGTTTGTATTTGGATTGCCTCTTGTTTGTCCTCTATAGCACCATCTCGGATGACGGCATAGCCCTTTCAGAGCAAAAATCAATCAAGTTGGTTTTGGGGCAAAATCCCTCAAGTTGGTTGTGGGGCAGCTTCCTGTGGTTCAAATTTGACAACTGAGGTTGTCCTATCACAACGAGCTTCAATTTGCAGGATCACAAGGATGCCATGCGAGCACCCAGAACTGCCAGCTTTGAAAGTGAAGTGAGCCCAGCGACAAGATTGGCCCTCTCAAGGTCTGTACAATGCGATCCTCTGTTCATAAGAGAAATCACTGGGGAATCCATGGGCATGTCTGTGCAGCGAGCCCAAGCTTTGATAAGTTAAACCCTTAGCAACTATAGTTATAATATAGATCATAGATCCTTATAAAGTCCACGAAATGTCCTTGATTCCGGAATGCAGGGAATCTGCAGTTTCAATTAAACAATGAGTTCACACAAATACTGACAAATTGCAATGTTGCCAAAAATCAAGCCAACACCATAGTGTCATCTCATAGCCCCAGAATGTTATAGCAACGGTTTCTATAAAGAATGATATATCAATCATAGTATAACATGTGATGAAGCAGTCCTCCATCTTGAACTGTTTTGCCGAACAAATAAGCATTCAAACACAATATAGATCAGTAACGCATGTGCGGTCCATTGCTAGCTGAGTTGTGATCAGTAATGAGGCAAAGTCCTAATGTTTATTGAAATCATTTGGTTGAACCAACATAAATCAAAATTCCTGGGAAACTGACCTGCCATTGATCTGGTTGCCAGGCAAGGTAAGGTGCCAGTCATTCGTTGGAGACCTATGGATTCGCCAGCAGTGGGTTCAAGAAATTCAGCATGTCTCTGCCTGGTGACGCATGAGTTCTCCAAGGCTCCCCCACCAGGCTCTGTCCGTGCAAACGGGAAGAGTTCAGGGGGTCAGTGCCAGGTACCATCCGCTCGAGCCAAATCAACCAACAAATGGCGTAGGTCATCGGTTGGGGCCTATAGGGCTCAGAGACAAGGGCTGAGTCCAAGAATTGACATTCCGCAGTATCCTGGAGTCTCCACCCAAACGTGACCCTCCTTAGCTCCCGAAAAGGACGGATCCTCATATTATAGGAGTCTCAAGCCGTAAATCCCATCAAATCCACTCAAGCAATCCCAGATACTTTCAACTACTATGAACCTCTGACAGAAGCTCTCATGCAGGAGTGAGACAACACGTACCTCTGCACTCTTCAAACCATGTGGCTGGTTAATTTCTTGGCTTTCATCTCTCATAAAACACGCAGGAGCACACTTTCAGCATTTCTAACCATTTGCCATTGCTTATAGGTGACACACACCCCAAACAAGGCCTTCCCTTAGCAGTTTCAAAATGAGTGGTTTTGCTTGGTCCCATCCCATCCAGTGAAGACCCCGCGACGGCTCGAGTTTTCGCGACCTGCGTCCCAGGCGTCGGAGCGCCTAGGAGAGCTTCGCCAGCTTGGCCTGAGGGATCTCGGCGGCTGCAGCGACCTGGGACACGGACGGGTGTGGCGCTGCTTGGAATGAAGGCGCTTGAAGAGTCGAAGGTACGAGTAGCTGGGGGGAAGTGATGGGAAGTGTTCGCTGGCCCAATCTGTAGTGGAATCTCACCAGAGTCACTGTTGAAAGCTGCTTTTTTGAACGGCTGAAACCGTTTCGGTGTTCTTTGATGATGGCATTCCAGCTGTAACCCACCAAACAATTTGTTGATCCTAGATGTTGCAAACAAGTTTACCTTTCGGAGGGCTCATTGACTAGAACCGAACGTAGAAAAGACTCAAACATCTACTGCAACAAATAATCCCAAGCTGCCAAGCATGAGTTTCTTGCGATTACGTTTTCATGCAACGACATGGGTTTAACAGTAACATGGCCTTCAAGGCTTCGGGGGTAGCTATATACTGTAGGGGGTCAATGGAAGGCTTGGATTGTAGCATTGCCGCCATGCCACTCCCTCGATGCGCTTGTGGATGTAGCTCCGCCTCGGCCGTGTCGGTAGCAGGTAGCATGTTTTCGCCCCTCTCTTTAGAGCGTCCAGGTTTCAACAGAGGCACCTGAGCCTCGGGGCTCGTTCCATTCGTTCGTTCGTTCGTTAGTTCCGTTCACTTGATTTTGCGGGTGCTTCGGTTGCAGTCCCAGGCCTGAAACAAGGCACTGAGCATGGGGCTCCCAGAAGTTCATGTACTGAAGAAGCTGGTGTCCAATATGACGTGCGTGCACCTATGATGTGCATTTGTTGAATCTATATAGGGGCTCCTGGCATCGCTACTAGTAACAAGGACGCTACTAGGGGCTCCTGGCCTTAATACTAGGAACAAGGACGCTACTAGTAACAAAGGGCATCGCTACTATAGGAACAAGGACGCTACTCGCAACCCGAAAAGCTTCGGTCTTGTCTTTCGGGTTCCCAGCTTGGACACCGCGATGAGCTGGCCCACTCCTTCAATCCCAAGTGTCTGAACCCTCCAGTTCGTACCCCTTGAAAATGGGACATATGACCCTGCCTAAGCAGGAATCCTTCAGGTAAACTTGTTTTTTATGAGTCTATACCCAATTGTCCAAGGTACTTTCACAGGTCGACTCCAGAATCTCATCCGCTTTCCAGGTAGTGACCCGGTCTATTTCCACATCCCTCCTTCTTCCATCGATCCGATTTCCCGGAGGCGCGAAGGCTCGGCGCCCGCGAAGTCGGCCGCGGTGTGGCCATTGCCGTAGAGGCGGTACCTGGGTCTTTCGGGGGCTCCCAAGCACCTCCGTTTTCGGTGCTTCAGGTTGGTTGCCACAGGTCCAGTCGTAGCTTTGGCAGGTCTGATCCCCTTTTTCGGAGTCCCAAGAGGTCCAGGGTCAATGTGCGAGGCACGTTTGAACAGGGGGGATGTGCAACACCCTCACCATACCGCGGGAACCTAGCCCTCAGTCAAACATGGACTCTCAAAATGGCAAGGTTGGAAACAGGCTGACGCTGGTGTTTTTGTCGGGGGTGTCATACCCAAACACTCCATGTATGGTATACATTGACCCCTGAAACCACCCCAATGGATGTAAATATGACATACATGAGAGTGTCTGGGATAGGGTAGAGGTCCCTCGATTTCACTGGGACTCTTTGGGCAGAAGATGGTAGAAGCCTTTCTCCCCACACAGGTGACTGGTGAAGGACGTTTGAGCAAACATATTTGCATCATGCCTGGCCTTTGTGTCAGCGATGACACTTATATGCGCTTGACAATCTTGACAATCAGTATTCTAGAGGGTTGATAGCTCGCATAGGTACATAGGGGCGCACCAAAACCACGCAACATTTATAGAGGCTTACTTGACCAAGCAATTGTGTCATGACCAGTGGGGTTGACAGCGTTTCCATGAAGTCATGATTTGGCGGGTTCACTGCACATCTTCTGCACAGGCGCGCGCGATACTGCCATTGACTATGACGCCGCACTCGTTCATTGCTGCTTTCCCGAGTGCGGTAACGGCTTTTGGAGCACCCTCTTCCAGTTCCGGCAAGCGCCAGCGTCCGCCGGCGGGGTGATAATGCAAGGGGCAGTATCCCCGTTTGTGGAACCCCGTCAAGCAGATCTGATCGCATGCGACCCCAAGCATTTTTAGCAGCCTATTGTGCACAGCACGCTGAGCACAGCACGGTTGCATGTTCCTTCCCTTGGCTGAACTCGGCGATGAAGTACAACCTTTTTTTTCTCCATGTGCAGAAACCAGGATTCGTAGGATTGGGAAAGAATGGACTGGCCCAGAAAATTGAATGCGCCAAAAACATCCAAAAACTGTACAACCGCTGCGCTCTCCTACACACTGAAACTTATTCAGATTGGGCATCTGTTTCCCGCTTGAGGAGCCCGTTACATGTTAAAACTGGGCAAAGGCTTCTGAAGACTCGGCACGTTGCGGCATATCTCTCTATAGTTTGGGCGCTATCTGGGCAAAACAATAGTCGCGGAGTCGCACCAATTGATCTGTCTCAGAATGTCAGGGGCACCCTGCATGCGGGTCGTGAACATTCTTTTCTTCTACAAGTTTACATATCAAGAGGATGTCATTACCACTCTTGTGGCAGGGTTGTCACCATTTGAGGACCCTCAGCTGCTGAATCCAAACGGAACTCCTCCACGACAGCTCCTGCGCTGAAGAGAACCCATACCAGGCTCCCCGGGCTTATGGATCACGAGGCCTTCCAAACCCACTGGTCCACGTGCGTGAATCCTGGCGCCAAAAGGTCTTCACCAAGTGGTGAACTCTTGAGTTTCCAAGGTCAACCACAGCCGAAACCCCACGTATTGACACCAGTTCAACTGCCTTACCGGGGACCTGGACTCCAGGAAAAACATTGAACAAAACGATCTGACTTGCGTTCCTTCAAAGGAGGGACGTTTCATGAGACGACGTCACGCTGCAAAGGAACATGGTTGATCCAGTACCATTGGGGATGATTTGGAGTCTGCACATGTCCGCACTGCCTGCGCTGGCATTGCTGGTGGGAAAACAAGCCACTCCGGGCAACAAGGTCTGTGCAAAAATCCAGGTCTGTGTCTCATGGGGCTGCATCTTCGGCCCAACATGAGTCGGCCGAGACGAGCTTGTTCAGGATCTCGTGAAGAAGCCCATAGACCCGTCCATTCGTGGTTCTAGCAAAATTGATGTAAGCTACATACCTGGACCTGGACCCTCCCATCCATCCACTCTACTCACTTCTGAAATGGGGCACAGGAACTTGAAGATGCTCCAGGGTATACGCCGATATAGAGATCTCATGTTTACTCATTGCTGAAAAAGCGCATGTTTCCACCAGAGTCCACCGGCACCGGCGCGGCGGCGCAGGTGCCGTCGCCCGGCCCGCCTGTTGGTGGAAATGCCGACCTCCGCTCCAAAGCCTCGGTGACCGATGATTTTTTCGGTGGCACCGGTGGATGGGCCGGTCCCAAGTGTCGGACAGACCGACATGGTGAGGATGGGACCTGGTCAGAATTCGACCCGTCACCCCCCATGTTTGAGAGGATTCGATGCTTCGTCCTTTGGACGCCTCAAACCCGGACCAACACATATGGACCCACCGGTGGAGGTGGACTCGTCCTCACTGACCGTCGGATGGAGTTGGGGACTCATGGACATGCCAAAGTAAGCCGGGTGTCCGTGGAACTGAGATGAAGATGAACAAACACGGGTGCCCTGGTAAAAGCCCGATCAAACATGATCAAACAGCTCTCGCGGGTGACAGTCGTCATCAAGTTATATATTGTCAATTGTTTCACTCCTACATTCTATAATACGTCCAGTACCCCAGACATTCCCCAAAATTAACGCAGCAAACTGACTCCTCCTTGCGGGGCTGGCTCGTGCGTCCCGTTGGCCCGAATGGATCCCACCGGTCCCCTTCCGCTGCTTCTGCTGGGATCTCCGCCATAGCGGAAGCCGTCGGCGAAGCGCGTGGAACAGTTGTGGTACACACCCGCCTGCACCGAGCTCTGCGGAAGAGAGCGGGTCGGGTGGGTTGGGGGGCTGCCTTTGTTGTTACATTGACCCCAGGTGAACCAACCCCAATGTAGGTAAATATTGCAGTGTCTGGGTTTTGTTTCCGTTCCTCTTATAGGTGGGGCTGGCTCGTGTGGCCTTTGAGCTGTGTCGACTTACAATGTGGAGTGTGGACGGTGTCAGGGATTTTGCATCCTTGTTGAGCCACACATCAAGTCACTATACACACCATTCACGACACATTGAATTCATTGAATAGGGCAGAATATTAGGGAACCGTTCGTCACCCTACCATTCCAATTAACACTATATAAATCTTTGGAACTGGTTACCAGTGGTAATTGGACCCACTGGGTACCGACGGACTACCTGATAATTCCTACATCGTTCGGTGACTGCCTGGGATCAAACTCACTCATATGGTGATTTTTGTTGAGGGGCTCCACACGGAATATTCCTCGAATTGTCTCCCACGAATCATCACAAAACTATACAACTTCTTGCAGAAATATCTCACTTGAGTTTGGGTTCACCATCATGTCATGTAGTTGAAACTGTTCCCCTGCACTTGAGGCCCTGAGGCTGCATCAAAATAACATGAACAGGATTAATGTATAGAGGACCTTTTTTGAGCTTCGGGCCTGGTCCATCTTTGTTTGGTCATTGTGTCTGGCCACTGGGAAGCCGGACATCCAATTATACACATGTGCAGGACATGTCCATTTTCCAGTCCATCTTCCGAAGGGACAGGTGGAGGCTTGAGACTTTGGAAGGCCCGACGGCGCAAGAATGACCAATGTCTGGTTGGATGTTGGCTCTGCCTCTGCCGAAGCGGGGGTGGCTCTGCCTCTGACATGTCTTTTCGGTGTGGCATCGGTCTTGGGGACCTGCACATCCAGGTTCACGTAGCTTGACTAGAGAGCTGTCCGGCTGTGTGGGCTTAGAAAAGGCTGAAAGATCGAAGCCCAGGTCTGCGACTCCATCAGGTCTGCTGCGACCCGGACTCCGCAGGCTCCGCAGGCCACAGTGAAGCCAGAAAACGGGTCCACCAAATCAAACAAGACCGCCATGTCCCAAACCATTCCCCTCATGAATTGTTAGCCTCCACCCAGCAGTTCCATGGAGTTAGGTGCATGGATAGGGGTGCCAGGAAAACGTCACATTTCCCGTTGGGAAGACGAGGACAAAACACGAGACCGGTCCAAGCCGTATGTTTCAATGGTCTTTCCAGGAAGGTTTCTTACTTCAGTGAAGCTGCAACAGATCGATTCTACCATGGTTATGATATGCCATGTTCGAACGTATAGAACTCAGTTTGTCCTGTCCACTGCTCTCTTCGAAGACCGTCACCGGGCGCGCGCCGCGCCGCTGGCGTTGAGCTTCCCCGCCGAGTCGACCCGGCGAAGGAAGGTCTCTGCACAGGTGGGGTCCTGGGCGGTGGAAGCTGACGTCAGGTGTTGCTTGTGTGTTTGTGCTTGCCGCAGTTATAAGTATGTTGCATGTATATCGATCATCTATATAAAAATAGCTAAATATATATATAATATATATATAATACATTTATAACATTATACAAGTACCCTAATTTTCAAAGGCTAAGTATAACTTCGACGTTGTTTCTGTCTATGTTTAACCAGGTTAAACTTCGTCGTTATGCGGAGTCTGTTCTGTCTAAGACAACTTACATGAGTAAAACTTAGACGCACTGACGTGTACAAGTTTAACTTCGACGTTTCTCATTGGCTAAGTTAAACTTCGACGTTGGAAGTTCTGGGAGTACATAGTTATTAGTCACTACATCTGAAAAGACAAGTCCAAGCATTTTGGAGCAGTTTCTTCCTGATTCGATGTTCCTTGTGCAGATGCGCCCCTGGCTGTTGAGATCCTGAAAAGAATCACTAAGGAAAGGCTCGGAGAGTCTGGGTTCATTTGATTGACCTAAAAACCATATCCACCTGAGCTTGGAGAGGCTTTCGAGATTTGGCCTCGTATCTGTCACCAAGAAGTTTGAGGTGCACACACATGTTCAATTACATGGTGCAGTGGTCAATTACCCTCCAGTCCAATCCTATGTGCCGAGAACAAGACAGTCCATACTTAAGCTTCTGAAGCACACAAAAACCATTTTCTGGCCTGGTGGGTGGTACCTAATTATCAGACTCCAGGTGCAATGTGACTTGCATATTGATCAATTGATCCTTGAACATCCTGAAAACCAACCCCAATGTACCAGCTTCTTCAGTTCGTGACCTTTTGAAGGTTCCTAATTAAGTGACCCGTATAGGAGGCTTAAGTGACCGAACCAACATCCTCAAACCAGGTGATCAAGTTCGGTCACGAACTGAAGAACCAGGTAAAGAAATCATGGATGTCCGTCCGAAGTGTTTGGGTGTTTGTGTCAACCTCGGTCGCTCCTCCGTCACCACACTCTCCGTGTGTCCCGAGCTGTGACCTGGCGGGCGAGCTGCTCGCCCGGCCGAGCCCGCCCGATCCGCCGGATCCGCCGCCGGGACCTCGGTGATTCCACCTCCCAACAAACCGAAACCACATCCAAAAGTATCCAAAGAGTTTCCATGGGATTCACATTTAATTTCTATACCTTTTCGACTTGCCTCTGGGAGCTGCTTTAAGGGCTTTGATTCTAAAAGCACCGTATTACCTCGTTGTTTCAGGGTGTCCCAAAACACGGGCGGACCCCCTGTTGCTCGAAGTCTTTCGAGACATTGCCAGGTTCTTTTCTCCGCCCAACGGTCGTTCACTTCATGAGCAAACGCCTCGTGCGAAACCACGGTGAAGGACAGGCGGCCGACCCCAAAGGGTGGCCTTTTTTAGAGTGTCCGTTGACCGCCCCTGCAGACTAACACGGACCTTATGTTCCAAATGTTCCTCTTCAACCCAGTGATTTTCATGTTAAGGGTTCATGTTACATAATCTGAAGGGTATAAAACAGGACACCTGAACACCATTCCCACTGGAGCTCAGGGGAAAAACACCAGCAGTGGAAAAAGACCATATCACGATGATCAGGAGGTCACTCAGGGTCTAGGTCCCTCTAGCCTCATGTACACATGTCCCATGTACCTCGCTGTGTGTTCGAGCTTCTTTCAAAGGCTCTATTTCCCCAATCCTTTCATTTCAGGTTTCAGGTCTGAAGACCCAGTAAAACCTGCATGGTCGTTTGACCAGTGTTTGGGTATGATCAAGAACATCAAAGGAGGTCGTTCACTACTCTGTAGGCCCACGAGAAAAACAAACTGGCAAGTGGCAAGAGAAAAACGAAAACGCTCCTCTCATGGCCAAAGCGCTGTTGATATGGCCAATGGCTTCATCGACCTTGACCGAAAGCGTGTGGGAGTCGAAACGGACTCGTCACGGACTGAGTCGACGAGTCCATGTTCGACCGATGGGGATGAGAAAAAAATCGAAGATCCCTCCGTTTTCTGGTCCCCATGGCCGTACTTCGGCTCGTTTGCCTCTTTTCGTGTTAGCTAGGTCAGTCGTTGTCCATCGAGATCCTCAGCTGGAGGATTCGCCCAGTCTCAATGTGTACCGCGCAAAAGAGGTACATGTTTATGAACATAAAACAACGTAACCAATGTCCTATATGGAGAGTCCAAGTACCAAAACTAACAACGCAAATTGTGGAATCGCGCGGTTTCGCAAAATGATCTCATAGTTCAGCCAGCTGCCAGTGAATGACTCAAGCAGTCAGCGCACTTAGCCGCGTCTTGAAGTCTGAGTCAGTCTTCCAATCCAAACTCAAACAGTTGCTCGTATATGGAAGACTATTGACTGTTTCCCCATCAAAATCTCAGAAGTACTGTTTCGTAGCCACCAGCCCAGAACCCCTGGAGCGCTGTCCCTGCCAAGCTTATTGGGATCCAGAGGGGAACGCTGATCAAAAACACATCACCACTAACCCATCAGGTCTCATGACCATGTCCATGCAAGTAAGAAAAAACAAACAACCATTCAGAATCGCTCAGTCCATCGGAAACATTCGCGTTTACATTCTCAAACATGTGACAATCATGTGACCGTAGAACGTCATTAATTTAATCGTGTTATTAAAGCCGCAGTGTGGCCCAAACGCGGAGTACGTGTAGGAGTAAGAATGTACAACGGATGTTGCGAGTCCAACACTCGATAGGTTGCAGCCCGCGGCACAAATTCGCACTTCACTGCAGTTTTGGGTATTCGACGCGAACGATTCACGATTCCTGCAAAGATATGAGCAGTTTCGGGCACTTGACACGCACGTTTCCGGCAAAGGGTTGCTTCTCGATGGATGCGGCCAGGCCCGACCGCCACTTTAAGAGAACATCTGAAGAATGTCAAAGTTGAAAGTGTTTTGTAGATATTTGAACATCTATACAGTCTATACGCCTACATCTGATACGGCTACATCTATATATACACCTACATCTGACACCTCGTTCAAGTACGCCTACACTTGATACGCCGCGCTCAAGTACACCTACATCTATACAGCTGACACCCGTAGATCTATGACATACAGCGACATGCAGCGTGCATGCACAAACATCTACATACAAATAGGTACAAGTGATGATTGACAAGAAACATGATTATGCTGCTGCTGCTGATGATGATGATGATGACGAAAATGAAAAGGCACAACAAGTAGAAGAAAAAACATAATAAGAAGAATAAGAAGAACATGCTGCTGCTGATGATGATGACGACATCAATGATGAAGATTAAGATGACCACAATATGAAATGGCTCACATTCTGCTCTTGCGGCCATGCAAGTGCCAGGATGCACAACCTATACATGGGCGACATCTATCCCCAGGATTCAGGTTTTGTGCCACCCTGTGAAATTGATGGTGAGTTTTGTCTATCACGTCCAAGCTGCCCATGGCCGTTCCAGCAAGTATTGCGTCAAGGAATGCTGAATGCATCCTACTAGTAGTGCATAGCTCGGCACTCGGCTGCGTAGCGGCGCACAAGGACACACCTTGACACAACAGGATTATGTATACCAAATCGGAATGTTATATTATATATACTGTATATATATGTGTGTACATAATATACTTTTCATTATTAAACTGCTCCAGCCGCATCTTCATACAGCCACAACAATTCATCGATTTGCTTCCAAGGAGATAGACCCCACCTTGTGACACAAAGTGAGGGCAGACCAATCTGCGAGAGCCGGCGTGCACATATGCCATCTTTGCGGGTGAAACAGCTCCATGCTGCCAAAGAAGGCTCTGCTCATCAGCCCTTTAGCCTCCAGCAGGAAACAAATGCAAAAACCCAAAGACTGCACATTTGTCTGCAGCAACCAGTTGAACAACACATGGAATTCTTTAGCTTGCCATTTTGACCACCCTGGCACTTCTGTTGAACTTTGCACCAGAACTCTAGTCAGTGCCCTGGTAAGATTTGGTGTTTTGACTAGCTGGTCTTACGATTGAAAGTCTCCAACCAATGAACAGGCTGTGCTGCTTGACCCTGCCTTTTCCAAACTTGTGTCTCTGTCACTGCAGCAGCCAGTGCACCAATGTTCCCAATTGTCTTCATCCTGCAGGTTCCCGTTGAAAAATGCAAAGACGTTCTGCCAATTCACCATTTTCTCTGATTGCCGAGCAGATGCCTCTCCTTGTGTCACTTGCCTTGATGGGTCCCATGGCTCCCAGAGCAGTCTGGCCAGGGATCTGCGAAAATTCTTGGAGTTAGTTGCCCTGGAAGGCACTGCAAAAACGCGGTGGTAAGCAAACCGCCTCTGCAACTCCACCAACATTGCCTTCAGCACATTTGTCCGAAGGCTGCTCTGCTGGACAAGGCGTGTCAAGCAGTACAGGGGGCCTGAGCATTACACATTCTCTGGCTGCTTGGGTGGCTTCTTGTTTCACTCGCTGCTTTTTGACAATTCGTCTTACACAAGTCCTGAACCACACAGGATAGCCCCCAAAACAACTGCGCTAACTTGGCAAGTGGTTACAGGGTCCTTCACGCTCCAAAGTCAACACCAGCAACCGCGCCAGTTGGTGCAGAAGGCATGGCGAGTAATGCGCCAAGGACTTTTCACATTTGTTCAGCAGGAAGGTGAAGAGGTGGGGAAGGGCCTTGCAATTAGCAGCCGCTGCGTCAGCCACCACAAGCCATTGCATGCAATTGAATTTCTCTCCTTCTCTCAGCATATCCAGCAGGGGGCATATGGGGCCAAAGTTGTGGACAATTGCGCGCGTCAGAAACTTGGCCGTTTGTTCTCTGAAGCTGCAGCGGTGGGAAGATAAGCTCTTCCTTGCGCCTCACACCAGAATCTGCCAATTGCCAATTGACACTGCCGGTTGTCACCATGAATGATGCCACCTCATGGCGGCCTGTTTGCTTCATGGGCCTGCGCCAGGGTTTCACCATGTCCCATACATTGGGCTTTGCTTTCCAATCGAATCCAGGTCAGGATTGTGTTTGCACTCATACTTGCAGCTTGCGCATCGTGGTCCAGTATGTCTGAGACCAAATAATGAAGAACTCAACGTGGCCACCCCCAACCTGTGGAAAGAAAGCGTGGGCGCCAAACACGGCAAGAGAAAGTTTGTTCAGGCTGTGAGGTAAGGACATGCGAGCCTTGTCAGCGAGGGGATTAGCTGAGCTATGTTCTATAAGCGTAACAAACTCCACAGCCTGCTGGTCCTTTTTTCTGGGCCGGGCTGCTAAACTTGCATCAAAGCGACAGAAGTACTTGGGAAATACAATTTCTTCAAAGTCACTCGCTCTCTTTGCCGCTGGCAGCACGTGCGTGGAGAAGAGCTTGCAATGCTTACAGATATCAGTGCTACGGCATGGCTTGCCGATATGTGGAAAATGCATGCTCATGGGCTGGTTCAAGACGCGTTCACATCGCCACCACCGACTCTTCAGCAAGTTTTTTGCGAAGACCATTCTTGGCCCCATGCCCTACAACTTATTCCGACTCTTGGAACTTGCCCTCCAGCTCCTCCTTAAGCCCCTCTATGGCCTCGCTGTTAACCAACGAAGGACTCGGCTGTGCTGGGCTCAGCGTCGTTGATCCTTTTGGCTCTTTGATTGTAGCCGGGTTCGCGTGGTCCGGCTGCTGCGGCATGACAGTGACGTCCTGGCCCGAATGTTGTATGCTGCCAGCTGTCATCTGCTGTGGCTGTTGCATTGGGGTTTGTGGCACTGGATGCATGAACATCTGTTGCTGCGGGTTTTCGGGGTCCGCGGCTTTCGCGAGGTTCGCAAGGTTTGCGGGGTTCGCAGGTCCGCGGGGTCTGCGGGGTCAGGGGTTCCCTGGTGGTGGTATACTGGTGGTAGCAGCAGCAGCAGCAGCAGCAGTCTGTAGTAGTAGTAGTAGTAGTAGTAGTAGTAGTAGCGTTAGTAGTCGTAGTCGTATGCCTTTTTTGCATGCCCGCAGGTCTGCAGACATTCCCTTTTGATTAGTATTCTTTGGTACACTTGTACCGTACCCTTTTGATTAGTATTCTTTGGTACACTTGTACTGTACCCGTGGACATGTATCCGCACGGTAGTCGTGTTAGCAGTTGTAGTTGCAGTTGTAGTATCATAGAAGCGACAGTAGTAGTTGTAGATATAGCAGTTGTTGTGTTTCCTGTTCTTTGTTGTAATTTGCTGCTATTTGTTATTTTTTGTTTGTCGCTATGTGTTGCAATTTATTGCTTGTTGTTCTTTGCTGTTATAGTGTTGCTGCTGGCGCTCTTGCTGTTGCTGTTGCTTGCTTGGGTTGGGGTTGGGGTTGGGGCTGGGGCTGTGGCTGGGGCAGTGGCTCTTGCTGTTGCTGTTGTTGTTGTTGTTGTTGTTGTTGTTGTTAGCATGTTTGAATGGCCTGTGTCGCAAAGTTCCTAACAGTCCATCTCTCGGGGGGTCCCCCTCGGCAGATCAGTGCGCCGACCCGGCAAGCCGGACGCGTAGGCCGTCGTTCCATACGAGGCGAGCTACGGGGCGACGGGCCGGGCGGTCTCTCGGTGAATGCTTGACACGCTAGGCGCGGAGGCGGCCTTGCAGGCTTGATGGGGACCAATGGACCCCTCGAGGCGCAGAGCTCGTAACGATGACTCTGACCTGCGGAAAGCGTTGCGACTGTGGCTGCTTGCATGTCAGCCATCTCGGCCTTGCATTGCAGCTCTTGCAGGTATGTAGATATAATGATATATGGTGTGTCCAAACTGATCTGCAGCTCGAAAAGTTCTGAAATCAACAAGGCTTTGAATTGCTGCATACTGAGCATAAGCATACATGTTTCCCCTTCTAAATGACCCCAAACCAAAACAATCACCCCCATGGATGTCTAAATGGCCAACTGAAGATCCCTTTAAAAACATCAGCCATCTTTGATCTTGGGAGGAACGAGACCAAGTAACTAAGTTGCCCCTCCAAGCAAAAACTACTTGACACCACCATACAAACATAGAACAATATACAACCCAACGGCCTACACAATCTACACAAATACCCTTCCCCCCAAAAAAAAAACACATCAGGGAGTTTCCGTCGCCGCTCGGACTATGGACCAAGGTGCCGAGGAGACCGCCTTCACTGCCATGGTATGACCTTCACGGCGCTCCGACAAACGTCGCCGAACGGCGGTGGTGCCCACGGCGGTCGATCGTGGTGCCCATCGGACCGACTATCGTACCAGTTTTGGTTGACCTTGTGGTGAAAAGCCTATCCATAATGTAGTCCTCTGATTTATAAACGCCCCTAGAATAATGACTTTTTTTCTGCGCAGATTAATAAAGGCACCAAAATAGTGTCTTTTTTTTGGAGGGGTAGTTATAGTGGAATATTGTTTATTGTTATAGTTTACGTTTTCCCTTTTGAGTTTGCTGAGATTTGCTTATCTTACAGGCTTTTGGATGGAGATTTCTATTAAACATTTGGAGGTTTCCATTGAGATTTGATGCTTTTGGAGGCTTTTGGATGGAGATTTCTATTAAACATTTGAAGTCCCTTTCTTTTACCCAAGCTCTTTAGTCTTTAAGGTTTCCAAAAGTTTCCAAAACCCAGCGCACACTTTCTTTACAAAATCCCTTATTCAAAAGTATTGAAAAAACAAAAAATCATTCAAGCAAAGGGGGTAGTCCAGCAAGCAGCTTTCTGACATTATTTAGGGGGGG